CTCTCTCTCTCTGTGTGGGTGTGGGTGTGTGTTGTTGTGTGCGTTCTCCAGCGTCCCGTACACTCCCCGCATTGGCTGCAGCACGACATGCAAGTCGCAAGAAAGCAGGAGTCAAGGGATGCGAAACGAAACTATGCGGCAAGGTAGGTACAAAGTCAGATTGAGGAAGCGGGACCTCTGGCACGGGGTGCCGCCGTGATTGCCTTTCTTGCTTGTCCCCCATTCATTCACGCGCTTAATAATATCCTCCCGTGCCGGCGCTAGTCATCTGCGATTGGTAATGCACTGTGGCAGGCGCTGCACCCGCCTGTTGCACCGCCTGGCCCCCATAGCTTGGTAATGCCCCCGTAGCGGTCGCTCCTTGGTAAGAGGTACTTACGCCACCTACCCCGCTGTGCATCGTATCCCTCATGGTGCTTCCTGTACTCACTCCATATCCTCCCCCTCCTCCTGACCCTCCATAGCCTCCATCATTACCATAATGTAGCGCAGAGTTGGACGTCGCTGCGCCGGTCGTCATCGCCGATGACATTCCCATCTGATGTCCGTGGCCGTACGACTGCGCGACGGCCCGCTCCTCGTAGATTGAGTAAGGCTGCGCCGCACTCTGAGTGACTGTCTGCTGGGATCCCAACCCACTACTCTGCCCCACTTGACTTCCCATTCCTGTTCCTCCCATACCTCCCCCCATGCCTGCACCCATACCTCCTCCCATTACTCCTCCCATCCCCGTTCCTCCTATGCCCCCGGCTCCTCCCATACCTCCTCCTCCCCCGATGCCACCTCCTCCGATACCCGTTCCGCCTCCCATACCACCGCCTGTCATACCTGCTCCCATACCTCCTCCCATACCTCCGACCATTGATCCGCCTCCCATTCCTCCCGCAGTGGTCCCGCCGATTGCGCCAGCACCTAGACCTCCTCCCATACCTCCCGCCGCTCCCATTCCCCCTCCGCTTATACTGCCTCCCATGCCTCCCCCGCCCATGCTGCCTCCCATCGCTCCTCCTCCCATTCCTCCTCCCATCCCTCCGGACATGCCCATTCCTCCCCCACCCATAGTACCTCCTGCCATGCCCCCTCCCATACCTCCTCCCATTCCAGTGGCTCCCCCCATCCCTCCACCCATGTTTCCTCCCATTCCAGTCCCTCCTCCTCCCATTCCTCCCATTGCACCGCCGACGCCGCCACCTACAGCACCCATTGCCCCACCACCCATGCTCCCCCCTCCGCCCATCCCGACCTGCGCACTATTCGCAACCCCGTAGTGTCCCGCAGTCGGCGCGGCGGTCACTCCCCCTTGATTTGCCGCTCCTGTCTGGGAGTATCCTCCTCCCGCTCCCGTCTGGGAGTATCCCCCTCCAGCTCCTGTCTGGGAGTATCCTCCTCCCGCTCCTGTCTGGGAGTATGCCCCTCCCGCTCCTGTCTGGGAGTACCCTCCTCCCGCTCCTGTCTGGGAGTACCCTCCTCCCGCTCCTGTCTGGGAGTACCCTCCTCCCGCTCCTGTCTGGGAGTACCCTCCCGCTCCTGTCTGGGAGTACCCTCCCGCCCCTGTCTGCGAGTACCCTCCCGCCCCTCCTCCCATGTGCCCTCCGTGCATCACCTGGCTCGCGCCCGCCGCCGGTCGCATGCTGACTTCCTCCGCATAGATCCCTCCACCCCCGCCTGCACTATACGTCGCAGCCCCACCTCCTCCTCCTCCCCCTCCCGTCCCTAACGGGTTCATCTGTCCTCCCATCCCCGCGTGCTCCACCTGGCCATCCATTCTCGGCCTCATTCGCACCTGCTGATCCATGTGCAATCCATCGTCCATAATCATGTACGGACGCTTCGCGCCGGCAATACCTGCGGCTCCACGGCCATCGTCTGCTACGTATTCACGCCCGACGCCGGCGGCGCCATAGCTCCCCCCACCTCCCACGGAAGCTTGCCCATAAGGCCCGGCGGCGGCTCGCTCCCCCATTCTTGCCTGGTAACCGGCACGCTCATAGCCTGCATTCGCATCATACCTGGAGCCTGTAGCAGAGGCATAGCCATCGCCCATACCTCTTCCAGCAGGGGTGGGAACGCCGCGACCGCCATAGCCGGAGGCAGCAACAGGCATCATGGCCGCAGCACGGGGTGCGGCTACTCCTCGACCTCGAACACCGACAGCTCCCGCTCCTCCATCTCCATAGCCTCCACCTCCTCCTCCCATGGCTCCACCGCCTGCCATATCGTACCCTCCGTCCATTCTCCCATCACCGTAGTCGTCGTATCGGCGGTCGGCTCGGACACCCACGAAATCGCCGGCTCCCGCGCCTCTGCCGCGGCCGCCCACAGCCGTCGTTCCGGTTGCGTAGACCAAGCCGCCGACGGCGGGTCCGCCCGTCTGTCTGCCGCCCGTGGCCCCGGGTGCAGCCGCGCCTCTCACTGGCGCGCCCCATTCTGCAGCCCCGCGCCCCCGGCCTCCCGCCGCCGCGTAGGGATCCCGTTCACCATACCCATCGCTCAATCCCCCTCGGGCGTCGTATCGCGTATACGCTGTCGTCCCGCCGCGCGTCACAACCGCCGCCGCCACCGCGCCTCCCCCTCTTCCGCCTCCYCCCCCACCAATCGGCCCCCCCCCGTAACTCGTTCCGCCCCCGCGATACGCACCCCCGCCTCCCATCCCGATACTTCCCCCTCCACCACCCCCTCCTTCTCGCGGTCTTGCAGGCTTAGGCTTCAGGAAATCCGTCTCCAAGCTCTTCATATCTTGATGCGAAAGCCTCTCCATGATCTTCTCCAGCGCGTCCGCCGCCGCCATCTGCTTCGCCTTTCCCTTCGCTTTCGCCTTCCCTTGCCCCCTTGTCACGGGTACATTCGCCGGTGGCCCTCCCAACAATGCCGTCACTTCGAACGTCTGTGCCCCTCCGGCCGCTTCCCCGTCCGGCGTCGCCTTCGTCGTGAAATTGACCTCTGCGTTTACCCTAGACGCGTACTCGTGAAGAAGACTCAGGGGTGTCTTGTTACTCGAGACTTTGTCTCCTTTGCGAAGGCTTTCCACTAGTCGATGCACTCGAGAGCTCCTGTGTTTCGACAACTCAGCGCCAGTTTCGCTTTCGAATCCGCACTTCACGCATTCAAACGCGCTGCTCTCCTTCCACTTGTTCTCCGCCTTCTCCTTGTCCCCCTCTCCTCCTGGCAAAGCTGCGGCATTGCCAGCCTTACCCTCGCCATCACCATCGGTCATCTCAGTGTCTCCGTTCTTCTTATTAGCTCCGTCACCACCGGCGGCAGTAGGTCGAGACTTGCTTGCACTTCCTGGTCCACCTTTGTCCCCACCTTTCTCCTCTTCTGCTTCCTCCTGCACTGCCTTCTCCCGTATGACTCTCACGAACTCCGCCATGCTCGACTCTTCCTCCCCTGCTCCCCTTTCACGACCTCCGCCGCCGCGTCCTCCGCGACTTCCTCTCGCCCTTCCAAACCGGCTGCTTCTCGCGCCACCCCCCCTTCCGAACCCCCCCCCCCCCCCCCCCCCCCCCCCCCCNCCCCCACTCCTCCCCCGGCCTCCTCTTCCTCCTCTTCCCGTTCTACCTGATGCTAACCTCGCCGCTCCCCCTTTCGTCCGCACTGGCGGCCTTGCTAGCATTGCCTCCACCCTCAGCTTCTTATCGTCATCCCCTATATCTTTACCATTTATCGCCTCTATACACCGGAGCGCCGCATCTCTCTCCACGTAATTCACGAACCCGAAGTCCTTCCTTTTAGCAGACGTTAGGTTCCCGGCCACAACCACCTTCTCCACCTCTCCCCATTGAGAGAAGAACTCCTTCACCTTGTCTTCCGACCACGTGGGTGGCATCCCATTGATGAACACCGACTTCACCTGCGACATTGTCTCCTCGCCCGGCTCGTTCAGCGGCTGCGCAAAAGCTGCTTTCACTGGCCTCTCCCCTCCCATCATTATATCCCCTTTCTGAAGCCTCTTGAGAGCTCTGGCTGCATCCTTCCTCGTCGGGAACTCCAAGAAAGCAAACCCTCGGTTCATGCCCTCGTTCTGAGCGTCTTTCATGAGAGTTAAATCGTCTAAGTTCTCGATGCCGTTTTTGTCCAGAGCTTCTTTCACCATCTGCCTCGTCCATGACTTCCCTAGGTTACCCAAAAAGACGGTATGGTTGTCTTCGCAAGGCAGCACGCCGACAGTCCGGTTAAGTACGTCGACCTTGGCAAGGTCAGACAAGGCGGCCTTGGCGCCGGCGACGGTGGCATAGCGAACGAAGCAGTAGCCCTTGTTGCGACCGGTATTAGGATTCTGAATCAGGCGAATCTCAGAAATTTCACCAACCTTTTGGAAGACGGAACGAATATCATCTTCCGTGGCCCAGGGATCGAGACCGCCGACAAAGACTTCCGCTCGCTTACGCAGTTTCCTGTCGAGGGCAGACTCGGCAGACTCCCCTCCCCCACCTTCCCCTCCACCTGCACCACCACCTTCGCCTTCTGCCCGTTCTTTCGCAGCACCCATCTCGTCCCCGTACTTCGCCATAGCCTCCTCCTCCTCACCATCCCCCATCCCATGTATATCTTCGTCTTGTTCATCATCCTGTCCATCAATATCCAAACCCTCCCCTCCGTCGCTGATCTCGATATCCTCCCCAATTCCATCCTCTGCCTTCACATACTCTTCCATTCTCTCTCTCTCTCTCTCTCTCTCTCTCTCTCTCTCTCTCTCTCTCTCTCTCTCACACACACACACACACACACACACGCAACTGCACAAAGACGGCGACGGAAAATGATGGCCTCGCCCCCCCTTCCCCGTATCTCTTGCAAACACACAGACGCCCTAATACGCCACGCCGCCGCCACAACAAAAGAAAAGGACGAGAGCTTAGCTTTCCTTGTTTATCCCGAGCAGCACAACCTCTCGCTTCCTCAGATAGGGCAGCAGAAGCGGCAGCACTGCGCAGTCACGGGCGCGCGTGGCTTGCCGTCGCCGACTGAGGTCCAGATTCCGCCTCTGGGTTCCACTGGTACATATTTGACCTAGCCCTAGCGGGGGCAGCCAAATTCGCTGGCCAGGCGGGAAAACGAAAACGGCCTCCCCACCCACCCGGAAGATGAGCGAAAAAGGACGCAATTGCCACTTATCCTCCTCGAATAGCAATAGCAAGATGGCCACCGTCTTCTCCCTGCGCTGCCACTCACATTTCCCAAGAAGTCACCTCTGCCACCGACGCCGGTTGCAGAGCTCGCTTGGCGTATAGCTTGATATCCGACCTCTGCGTCGTGCATTACATTCCAACGCAAAGGGCGAAAACCCAAGAGCAGAGAAAGGAGGGAGCCGGGGGGGGGGGGGGGGGGGGGGCTTTCTTTCTCTTCTTTGGTTCTTTTTCCCTTATTATTCCGTAGACGTAGATAGACTCTGCATTACGTGTTCACCGATCGCTCAACGATACACTTGTATGCATGATCGGAGCATATGCTCACACGAGGTCTTTCCGAATGTACCTGACTGCCATTACCACCACCTGTCGATGCATCTAACGGCAATTGTGTCCAGAGGTCAGTCGGAAATGTCCTACAGTAGTGTGAACGTGCTCAGGGACGAGGACGTACTCACTACCATTCTTTTCATTCATAGCCGTCGATCGCCAAGATGAACGGCCAGAAACGGAGAATCTGGAAATGCTGAGACCGATCCCTGCTAGATCTGAAGTACCGTTCGATACAAAACAGTTACTTGTTTCTGGGCGTAGTGACCGTCAAATACAGCCAGGTGCGGTCGTAAATGCGGTCAGATGCATTTGAGTTAAGATAGTGCTACGGTAGTGTGAGTACGCCCCTGGGGTGGTCTCCTCGCCGTCTTCGCGCATGCCGTTCGAGCGAATCTACAGATGCCGGACCCTTCTTCACCCGAATAGACGCCCGGAAATTATCTCGGTATCCGGACTGAAACAGGGGTTCTATTCGGGTCAAGATGGGTAGGCTGTCAGCGGTGGTAAGCCCCTGGGACCACAGCCCATCGAACGAAGAAGGGCGGACGTCGGCTGCCGCCCAAATTGCAATCCAACGGTGCAGGTCAGCAGTCACAGGCGATTTCTTCCTTTTTCAGTTTCCTTCTTATAGAAAGGGAATTAGCCCCTACAATCCTCAGTTCCTGATGATCCGTTTATCAACAGCTACATGTATTTGCCATCCATCCAGAGGGTTGGATAAATGGCTCTCCACAGGCTGCCCCTACACGCCACCAGAACAGGACTAGCCCACGACCATCTTTGTACATTGGTCTGATTCAGGACGGACAGGACAGACACTCGTTTGAACCACCACTGCCCTCAACAGTCCCCCCCTAGAAGAAGAGCCTGAGGTCCTTCAGATTCTGGAGATCGACGACCAGAAATGAAAAACGCGATGCCCACTATGCTCAAAAGACCAATGGCGGCCTACACGAACCACCATCAGGACCATCAAGCCGCAACTGCACCCTCCATGGCAGCAGTTCAATTTCACAGCTGTCTTTCTAATTTTTCACAGCCAACTGAAATGGGGTTGGCCCTTTTTCCACTGACGTTGGCCCTTTTTCTATTGAGGTTGGCCTTAGACACTGCTGTTACTCGAAGGGGTGCGGAAGAAGAAGAGAAAAGGGGGTGCAGCTACAGGCAAAAGGCTCACTCTTACCAACTGGCCTCCCTCAGTTGATACACCCGTGAACTGTTGAAATAAAGACCTGTGTTCGAATCCAGATTGAACCAGGTGAATAAAAAATAAACTCATTCTGAATTACCTGGAGCCCACCAGTTCGACAAGGATATTTCAAGGTCGCCCGGGTGCGCTTTTTAGAATCGCCAATACTTCTAAGGCACTTCTCTTTGACGTTGGAAACGCCCTCCGTGACAGCAAAAAAACAAACCGCCGTGGCCTCCTTTTGGTTGGCACCGCCAGCCCTTTTGCTTCACCAAGCCCTGAAAGTTGCGGCTCATGTACGTCAAGGGCCCATGGCCAATGTATGGGCCAAGTACTGGTGGTTTAAATGAAGGAGGTAAGAGAAAGGGAAAATTTGAGTGATACTCCTCGGAGTCCACACATATGCTGAAACGCTCCTAAAAGATGAGGGTACAGTGGAATGCCCTTTTGGCCTAAATTCTTTCTGGTATGTCCTTGTCAGGTCAGGCGCAAATTTGCAATCTACACCTCCTCGTCGGGGGTTGGGACTGCACCCTAATTTACCTGGTTTGCCCTCCCTACACAACGAACAACTTTGCATAATACCTAGGCCCTATGCGCGACAATCTAGGACTATGAATTCAAACTTTCGCACGTCACTCAACAACTTGTGCAGGTCATCCTAGTAAGTTCCTCCATCTCTCACCTCCTCCTCCCTTACCATTCCTCCACTGCCTTCTCCCTTTGTCAGTGTGTGTGTATGTGTGTGCGCGTGTATATGTATATGTGTGTGTATGAGAGAGAGATTGAGAATCAAAAAATAATTGTGACATCGGGTCTTGCTCTACTACTCACCAATGTGCAAAATGAGAATGAAGTTGCCTCTATAACATTGGAATGGAATGGAACATATACCGCCGCAAATGTCTCCATACTTCTCCCTTTTATCTTTTGTTGATAAAAAATATGGTTGTGTATCTTCTCATGATACAACCAAAGACCCATTCTCATTCTACATGTCCTCTAACATATCCTCGATCTGGGTAGGTGGAAAGCATGCAAAATGAGAATCGGTTAGAACATGAGAAGATACACCACAATATCACTTGCCTTTAATCAATTAAAAAAATGATTGTGTATGTTCCAATGTCCTAATGAATAATTCATTCTCATTTTGCACATCATTAACCTACCCCTGATCTCGATCCCAATAGGAAGACCAATTTGGCTGCTGATTGCTTAGACACAGTCACAACAAAGTGCCAATTGGCATCCCCTCTGACGCTTCTTGACAAGAAAGAAACCAAAAAGCGGAGGGTGCACAACGAAGTGAAGGGGGGACTTGAAAAGATGATGTAGGTCGGTAGGGGTAAAAGTTGAAAATCAATTGTACACTTTGAAAGTTGGAACGTACAGGCGTATTTAAAAAACTTCACCCAATACCCATGAGTTGTATATTGCAAAGATGGTCGTATTGGTCGGTCCGACCAACACGGATGGTATTTTGCAAAGATTTTTTATTCTCATAAGAATATTTAACTCTACCACCATTTGTAGGGGCATTTTGGCATATCTCAACTTTGAGGGTTATAATGCAAATTTTTCTTGAAACCACCACTACATGTTCAAGTTGTAGGCCCATTTGGGAAAATGACCTCAAATTTAATGCGTCCGACGGAGGGTCGGTCTTTGTTTCCCAGGAAAAATAATAAATAAAAAAGTGGGACCCTATGAGCCCGCTCATCAAAACGGGAAAAAAAACAAACAAACACATGCACTTTCACAATGTCAGAGATGGTTATGGCATAGGTTGTACTCACACCACTACTGTGAGGAATGTATGTGGCCAAAATCAAGATAAAATCCATGGTGTGGTTTTATTTTGTTTTTTGCAAGTACTTTAATGATGTTGGAAAGGTCGTTTTCACACTAGTATTGTGAGGAATGTATTTGACCACTATCAGGGCTAAAGTTGGGTAGTGATTTTGGTTTCTTTTCATTTCTTTTCAATCTGAAGGCCCTGCCAGCGAGGCTCAACGTTTTCCACACTCTGCTAGAAACACCCTCACTAAGGACACACTCACTTTGGAATTGGTAAAATGGATCTAAACCCATATCACGACCAAATATATATATATATATATATATATATATATATATATATATATATATATATATATATATATATTTTTTATATTTTTTTTTTTTTCTTCTTTTGTTTTCACGGGCATGGGGAAGATCATTCTAACACTAGTATTATATATAACGTACCTGACCACTAATCGCCTTGAAACAAGTTGAAGGTAGAGTCTGTGCTATGTAGAGATATATGAAGTGCTACTAGTATATGTATAATAAGCAACAACATGCTATGTAGTACGAGTCAAGCCGCGAATCAGGATCGACATCCCTCACAAAAGGAAGATGGTCCCTCAGGGTAACTGAGGTGCTCTAACGAGATTCATACCACGATGGTTAAAAACGAAAAATGTAACCGAAATTTTATCATGATGGAGAACATCGAGCCCTTTAATCGGGCCACTACTCACTTTGAGATACTAAGATGCGTATAATCGAGCCCTAAATCGATATTAATCAGTAAAAAAACTATTATCTATGTACAACAAACCAAAAATCAAGCAAACAAAGCTCACTGTGACGGCATAGCTACATAAACCTACATGTCATGGCATTTCATTAAAACCCATAAAAGGGCGAGTCAAGTGACTCATTCAACTCCCATATAATCCACCACTTCCTCAATCACCCTAAGAGGTTGGCGATCCTTATGGATAATGGTTAGACCTTATAACCATCCTTTCATAAAGCATAGAGCCAACATTTTTCAATTCATATTAAAGCCGACATTAAAAAAATCATAACTCGTGAAAAGTCAAAATGTGGCTCAAAGCCCAACAACCACAATACCCAGAAAAAAATTAAGATATAAGCGTCATAATAGCAAACCACTGGATGTCCTTATAAATGAGCAAAACACACGAACAACAAGCTCGAAGGTGAAGTAAAGGCTACCAATCTTCAATCAACCACCAACATATAGATCATTATGTGTGTATAGGCATGTGTATATGTACGCGTGTGCAGGAGTATGTGCAAGCATATGCATGCTTGAAGGTATGTGTGTTTGTGTATG